GTGAGTCGGGGCTGGGCAGCTCACTGGTCCTCGGCGCCACGGAGTGCACCGCACTACGAAATGCGGAGCTTTCCCGCCGGGGGCACCCAGCTGGGGCGCCAGGACCCGACAGTGCAGCGTCTGCCACGGGCTTCGCCGCCCCGCGGAGCCCGGGGCCCTGAATTCCCTTACACGTTAGAGGGGAGAGTACCTATGTCTACCTTCCTTCATCCGAAGCCAGCATTTTGGATGGTGCCCATGGAGCCTGCACGGTAAACGTCTCTGAAAAGTTTCGGAAGTGATTTCGTGAAGTTCAAGCCACGGGTTTCTTTCCGTAGGCTGCCAGCTCGTCTCTCCCAGTTAGGACCTGGCCCCGGCCTCCCGCCGTGGCTGGGGTGGTCGGATTCCAGACCCACACGGCTGAGAACACTCCACCCGTTTCTGCGGAGTCAGGCTCTGACACCTTCTCACCCCGTGGCCGAACGAAACCCAGGCCTCGGTGTGCCGCCCTTGGGGACCCCTCGGGCCAATCCTCTCGCCGCCAGCCTCAGCCCAGACCGGCCTTTTGGCGCCGCCGCCGCCTCCTCGCCTCCTCGGCGCAGGAAGCGGGTCGCTGGGCCCAGGCGCCCACCCGCCCGCGCTGATTGATCCCCGCCCCGCCCCCGCCCAGCCGACCGGAGCCTCCCGCGCCTGGAGGGGCCTGGAGGGGCCTGGAGGCCGGGTCTGTGTGCCCGCTGAGGCCGTGGGGGCTGCGCTGAGCTGCCTCCCGAAGTGGCGACCACAGCCAAGCTGACAGGCCTTGTTCTTGTAGGATCTGGAGATCTGGCCCCGCGGATGCTGTCGCTTTGAGCAGGACAGGCCCCTCCCAGGCTCCCTCTGCGCAGACCCCCTACCTCTCCAGGGTGGAAATCACAGACCCTAGAGCTGGACCCCGGCTGGGGTCTGGGCAGTTCCCTGTTTCCTCACCAACGGTTAATTTATGAAACCTTCCCCACCTTATAAAACCAACCCTGAGGAGTGTTTTAAATTCGCACAAACTTTACTGCATGTAAATTTACAGCTAGTTAAAATATATTTTACAATAAAATAAATTTAAGGCACAATTTTTAAAAGTTTGAAAAAGTGCCGCAGACGCCCCCGAGCGCCAGGGAGGGACAGGACCTCGTCCCATGAGCTGCCTGTCCCCGCAGTGTCTGACTTCTTGGAGGAGTTTCCTGGTGAAGGTCGTGAGTGTGTCAACTGCGGGGCCCTGTCCACACCGCTCTGGCGCCGGGATGGCACCGGCCACTACCTGTGCAATGCCTGCGGCCTCTACCACAAGATGAACGGAGTCAACCGGCCGCTGGTGCGGCCCCAGAAGCGCCTGGTGAGTGTGGGACCCAGCTGGCAGCGTGGGAGTCCAGACCCAGGTGCTGCGTTCTGGGGATGTCCCCAGAGGGGTGACGGCGCCTCCCCACTGCTATGGCGGGAAGGGACAAAGGACCTCCTCCCTAAGCTTGAGGCTGCGACTTGGTGGGGTCTGCCTGTCTCCCAGTCTGGATAGGGACAGTCTGCTGGGGGCTCAGCCCTGTGGCTTTGAGGGTGACTGGGTGACAAGCTTCTTGTCTGGTGGTGGGGGCACGAGGGGCCTGGCGTGGGCTGGAGGGGAAGCTGGATGCTGTGTGGGTGTGGCATTAGGGGACACAGCAGGGGCGTTGGGGCCGCTGTCCCCGATGTCCCTTTGGGGAGCACTTTCTACCCGATCCTGAAGGGACGGGATCAGACCGGGGCTTTGGCTGTTGGTTGTTCGGTTGTTCTCTGGACAAATCTTGTTTTCACTTTTGGTTCCTTCTGCCGGGGCCTGGTGGGAGCTGGGCCTGGGAGCCGGACTTTTGCCCCAGGCGGGGCAGAGCTCCGGAAGCTGAGCAAAGAGGTGAAGTTGCTTTGCTCTAGTCTATACGATTAACAGGCGAACGCTGATGTTCCCGCGACTGTGTAAGGAAGGGACTGCTTGATTTCGAGCTGTGTGAGGCAGCGCTGCCAGTGGCTCCTGCCGAGGTCTGGGCAGGGGTACGGTGCTGGGGTTGCCGAGCCTTCTGGTCTCACGCTGGGATGAGTCCTGTCAGGGTCAGTCGGCCGGTTCTGGCCGGTTCTGGCCAGTTCTGGTGCAGCAGGCCCTGGCAGGGGTGGAGGGGGCTGATCCCTGGCTGACACTGTGGGGTAGCCCAGCCACACAGTTGCCATTCTGGGCTGGGTGGGGGGCTCAGCTGCAGGCCTTTACTAGAAACCGAAGCGGCTACGGGAGCATCGGGCCATCCTCCGAGCCCCAGACTGGGCAGGTGGGAAGCAGCAGAGCGCCGCTGTTTGCACCCTCTGTTCTGGCCTGGCGTTGGGGCTCTGTGGGTTCCCCAACCTTCCTCCACTCACACTGTGCCTCTCAGAGAGAGGGGGCCCCTTAGAGTCCACATCACCCCACACTCTCATCTCTGCCCCTGCATTCATGACCCCCACCCCCTGGTGTGCTGTACCGCCCGTATCTGGTGTGTCCCTCATTGAGGGGAAACAGGCTAAGAGGGGAAGGTACTGGGGGACCCCAAGCAGCAGGCCAGCCCTCCTCTGGCTCTTTCACTCTCCCTGTGCCAGGCCCTGAGCCAGGTGCCAAGGACACACTGGTCATCGGGACAAGATGGTGTCCCCACCTTTGTAGGGCCCACCTCCCAGCAGGAAACCCCTGACTTGGGGGTGGGCAGGCAGGGCTGCCATCTAAGCGCTGAGATGGTTATCCTCACAACAGCCAGAGCCCTGGGCACCCAGAGCCCATGGCAGACCCTGGGTACAGGCCAGGACTGTCCACCTCAGGGTCCCCTGAGTCCCCCTCACGCTGAGCCCCCTGCCCCTGTCCTGGGTCTCCTGGCCCAGGCCCCTGGGCGATGAATTCAGGAACTGTCCCCGCGCCGTGTGGTAAAGGCCAGATCAGACAGCTCTGCCGAGCACTGCGGCTTTGGCTGGCTCTGTGAACAGGCTGCCTGGGCACTTGGCCTGGTGAGGCCTCTGCTTGCTGGTCTGGGAACACAGGGTACTTAGGGTGCCTGCTAAGGGGGAGAGCCCCGGAGACCGCTCATCTCCCCAAGGCATAGGCCGTGGAGGGTGCACAGCCTGGTCACCATGTCCAGGCCCACGCTGATCTGAGTGTGGAACACGCCCAGGACGTTTTTCTCAAGTGGGGCCGGGGGCTTACCTGTCTCTCCCCAAGCAGCATCTAGGGGTTCACTCTGGCTCACTTTGGGATTCCTGCCTGGCATTCAGGGAGGGCAGCCCCAATGTTTGCCCCGTGGCTGGTCCCGGCAGGGCCAGGCTGGTGTGGAAACCGAGACTCTCAGAGAGTCCCGAGACCAGAGCTTGAGCCACATGGCTCCCGCCACGATGGGGCTGGGCCCGTGGCCCCAGGCTTCCCCCCACTCCAGTGTCTCACTGTCCCTGTGTGTGGCCAGACCTGAAGTCCCGGGGGGGCCTCCCCAGGAAAAACTTGTCCTGACCTTTAAATGACTACAAACACCCTAGAAGCTTGTCACCAAGATACAGGAATGTGACAATAACAAGCACCCCTCCCTGCAGGCTCATAGCTGCTGCCCTCTGCGTCCCATATGCCTGCTTAGTCACTGGCAGGCTGGGGTGCACCTTTGGCCTGAGGTCTCCGTCAGTGTAGACAGGGCGGATAGTTGTGGTGGTTTCCGTCACTGTGGGTGGGCCTCCCCAGGTCCTGCCGTCGGGCCAGGCGCTCTGCAGCCCCATCAGCCCCCCTCCTGGACATTGGAGCCCGCAGCCCAAGTCAGGGACAGTAGGCTCGTTGGCCTATGGCAGCCTGGTGCCAGCTCCGGGAAGTGGCAGTGCCGTGGGGGCCCAGTGTTCTACGCTGAGGAAATTGGACCTTGACTGGGGCTCTGACTGTTCACTGGCCAGGTGTACCTTCTGGCACAGCCCTGCCTCGCAGGCTCTTGTCCCCACGAAGTTTGCCCTGAGCAACAGGGACACGAGCTTATCGGGTTAATGTCCCCCACGTATGTCTCCCCTTCCAAGATGTGCAGGGGACCCGTTTGAAATTGGAGCCATTTTTCGAGGCTGCTGCATGCACCTGTGACCTGCAGCTGATTTCCTTCCCAGTGTCCCTGCTCGTGTGGAGAGTGCTGCCCCCACCCCGACTTCCTTGGGTGCCCCAGAGCTCAGGTGGCTCTGCTGGGCCCGCAGCCTTTGAAGTTTCACTTCATTTGAAAAGAACCGACCAAATCAGAAAACCAAGTGCAGCGGAGGGAGCCTGGCAGTCAGGGCCTGAGAGTGGCCCAGCGCTGGTTCCGCTGGGAGGCAGGCAGATGGAGGCTCGGTCCGCCCTGTGTCTGGCCCAGGAAGGTGGTTCCGCCCACCTGAGGGCACATGGCCCCTCAGGGCCTCTGAGCCCCAGTTTCCCCTCTGAAACGAGTCTAGTGAGAGGGCAAGCTCAATGAGCAAACACATTGAATTTTTTTCACGGTTGTTTTTTCCCCATTTTCTTAATTTTAATTTAATCTCCAATTTCTCAACTTGGATCTGTGCTCACTGTAGGAATTTCAGACGTGGCTTCCCGGTGTCCCCTCACACTCCCTGGGAGAGGGAGGCTGGGTCGCATGCTTTGGGGGGGCTGGGTGCTTGGTATGTATTCTGCATGCAGGCACCCTCTGTGTGCACAGCTCCCAGCACCGAGGGGCAGATAGAAGGGAGGGGCCGGGGGAGACCCTGGTGTCCAGTGAAAGCGGCTGCTCTCTGGACGCGGTCGGTCTGTGGCCTCTGCCCATGGAGAGGTCTTTCCAGGGCCTGTGTTTTCTTGCGAGTGGCTGGTGCCCAGGCTTCAGACAAGCCCCCACTTCCCTCCCCGGCCATTCACAGGGGGCAGGTCTGAGCCCCTGGCCGCTGACCACAGCCTCGGGGAAGTGGGTGGTCAACAAGGCTTGCTACCCTCAGTCATTGCAGAAGGAAGGATCCTAGAGACTGCTGACAGGTGGGGAAATTGAGGCTGGCCCTGTCTGCCGACCCCTAACCCCCCAGGTCAGGTTCCTTTGTGGCTTGGCTTAGCAGTCTCTTGATTGCCCTTGGGCTGGGAAAGTTTTAAGTATGGGGTCCTCATGGGCTTCTGTAGCAGATGTGGCCTAGGCTGGCCCTGGCTGCACAGGGACCAGGCAGGGGCAGTACAAGTGGAGGAGAGGATGGGACAAGTTCAGGGGCATCTGAGGCAGTGGCTGGTGAGGAGAGAGCAGCACCCCCAGGACAAAGTCTGGGGGCAGGTAGCTGGGGAGGGCTGGTGCCACTGGCAGGCGATGCTGCTGGAATTCGGGGAAGGACTTCGGGTCCGAGGTACCTTTGGGGCCCTGGGCCTGGAACAGAGCATCTGGAGCTCCGGGCTATGGGTGACAAGACTCCACCCAAACACCAAAATGTGAGTCAAGCAGAATCTGTGCTGAGAGAGTGGTGGCTGGGCTCCGGGTGCCGGGGATGCCTGAGCTGGTGGGAGGGCCCCTCAGATTCTCTGCCCCATTAGGTCCCCAGCCTGAGCCTCAAACGCCTGCTTTCTCAGGCTCCCTGGAGTTAGTGCTGTCTGGGCCCCATCAGGCACCTAAGCATAGGGAGGTTTGGGGTCCCTTGTCAGATATGGACCTGCAGGCTTGGGGGTCAGCTCTGCCGGGACACACGGGAAGGAAACGACCTTTGGAAGGTTCCGGATGGGCCCAGTCTTACTCTGACATGAGGCACGATGAGGCTGGTGCCCTCAGCCCGCTGTCCAGTGGGGAGTTGTTGACTTACGCCCATGCTGAGTCCCAGGTCCTGGGAAGCAGGTGTCCAGAGGACCAGCAGGTCCCCACACGTCCAGCCTGGGGCCTGGCCTCTGGAGGTGCCACTCACCGTAGAAATATGGGGTCTTCATGAGATCCTAGCCCCACAACAGGCCTGCGGTGGATCTGGTATCACCCCCATTTCACTGCTGGGGAAACTGAGGCCCAAAAGTGAAGTGACCTGTGCCAGGCTCATGGGGCGTGGACTCCAGGACAGCCTCACAACACCTTGGCGGCCCCACGTGGGCCAGGCCTGGCTGCCAGTCAGTCTGAGTCCACTTCCATCCCCCTCCTCCAGCTGTGCCTAGCCCAGCAGCCCAGAGCCTTGGGCCCCCAGCACCGGGTCTCACTGGCCTTCCCCTCCCACAGTCCTCGACCCGCCGTACCGGCCTCTGCTGCACCAACTGTCACACGACCACCACCACGCTGTGGCGGCGCAACGCAGATGGCGAGCCCGTGTGCAATGCCTGCGGGCTCTACACCAAGCTGCACGGGGTGAGTGGGGCAGGGTGGGTGGGGAGAGGCCGAGGGCTGCTGAGCCTGAGCTGGGGACAGGGATCCCCAGTTGGGTCACTTGACCAGCCTTCCTGGCACTTAGGGACCAGGGGGCTGGGGAGGAATAAGGTGGGTGGGGCTGGGGCTGGCCGTGTTTCACATGGGGCCCCACATACTGCTACTTTCAGGCCCATTGTGCAGATGGGCTCACTGAGGCTCGTCACGTCACTGTGGCTCTCACAGCCATTCAGCCAGGGGCAGCAGCTGGACACTTAGTCTTGCCTCTGCACCCCAGGGTCCCCCTGGCCCTGACGGCTCCAGGAGGCTGGGGTGGGACAGCTCCTCCACCCGCCTGGAGGGAAGCAGCAGCCCAGGCGGCAGCTCGCCCAGCAGGGCTCCTGGCTGTACAGGGCCGAGATTAGGGCAGGGGCCCCAGGGGCGGGCAGGGAGAGGGACCCGCCCCCCACCCCTGCATGTCTCTGCAGGTGCCCCGGCCCCTGGCGATGAAGAAGGAAAGCATCCAGACTCGGAAAAGGAAGCCTAAGAATGTTGCCAAGACCAAGGGCCCCTCAGGTGCAGGGCCAGGGCCCCAGGTGCTGGGTGGGAGCTGGGACCCCAGCCACTAGTCGCTCCCAGCCCTCTGGTGGGGCTTGTGGTCCCTGAGGAATCACGTGGACTGTCTCACCTTCCACCATTCGAGGTTTACATGTCCGCTGCAAACACTGTCTCCCACCTGTTCTGGGATGGCTCCGGTTGGGGGAGGAGCAGGGAGCTCCCCCAGCACTGAGGCAGGAGGGACGGGCTGTGTGGCAGCTTCTATAAATGCCCCACCTTTCCTCCCAGGGTGCCCAGGGAACACCACAGCCTCCCAGCCGTCCTCCATCCCCATCCCTGAGAGCTCAGCGGCCACTCTGAAACCCAAGCCCAGCCTGGCATCCCCTACTTGCCCTGGGCCCTGCGTCACCTCCCAGGTAAGGCATATGGGCGGGGTGGGTGCCCAGAGCTGGCTCCCGGGCACCTCCTCAGGGAAGCCCGACTCCCTGGCCAGGCCGGGGCCCCTGCAGGCCTCTCCCGGGAGCTCAGGGCTGGCCACACAGCTGGTCGTTGGTGCCGAGAGTTGACCTGTGTTAGACGCGGGCTGAGAGCCCAGCGTGTCATCACGTCGACACTCACAAGAGGTCCCCCTCTCCATTCCAGGAGTGAGGGCACTCCTTAGGGTGAGGTTTCCTGACCCCACCATCCCACGTGAGGCAGCCTGGGTTCCTGAATCTATACACATCCCTGTCCTCCCTGCAGGCCTCCAGCCAGGTGGACGACCCCCTGGCTCCCAGCCACTTGGAGTTCAAATTTGAGGCTGAAGACTTCCCCCTCCCCTCCATGGCCCTGGGCTCCCAGGCTGGACTGGGAGGGGCCCTGCGCCAGGAGGCCTGGTGTGCACTGGCCTTGGCCTAGGTTCCCAGTCACCCACCAGACCCACCTCGTGACCTGCGTCGCTCCAGCACAAGGGACAGCCCACCGGGCCACCCACCAGGAGAGACAGCAGCCAGCAGGATCTCGAGGCACTGGGCCTGCAGCGGAGAGGCCTGGACAGATGGCAGTCAGGCCCCGGAGTGGGGTGAAGGCCTTGGGGACAGAGGCTCGTGCCCCCCAATAAGGGACCCCCAAATGCTGCACGAGGCTTCACACCACTCTGACCAGGGGTGCCTACCGCCAACCTGAATTCTGTTGTCAACACTTGCCACTGCCATGTTTACAGGTGGCAGCTGCTGGGAAAAACTCAACCTTTTGTTGTGAAACCAGGATCACAGACGGAATGGCCAAGGCCAGGAAGACACCTCTCCTCTAAGCGCAGGGCTGCCAGGGGCAGGTGTGCAGGCCATGCACGTGCCACCACCACCCCCCCACCCCCCCCCCCGGGGGAAGCCCTGCACCTCGCCGTCCTCGCAGACAGTAAAGACCTTGTTCTGGTTGAATCTGTGTGTGAGCATCACTGACAGGCAGAGTGAAGTACCTGAGCCTTTTCCGACCCACAGGCTGCTGGTGGGGTGAGCGCACATCCGGGCTTGTCTGTTGTCCCAGCAGAATTACCTATCACACCCCCTTTCTCCTGCAAAAGTCCTTCGCAGGTCGGGTGGTTACTAGTAAGTTGGTCCTGCCAACTAGACACAGCTCTGCCCACGGGAGCTGATGGGTGGCTACTAACAGCTTAATGTTGGAGGCAACAGGGAGTGGAGGGGAGTGGGGCACACCCTGCCGGAGGGCCATGGCACTTGTACCCAGATGCTACTTTAACCAACAAGATCTCCTGGTTTTTCCAGGGAAGCCAGAAACTGGAATTTAAAAAAAAAAAAAAAGTAAAGTCTTCCAATTAAAAGCTTCTTTCCCCAACTCCCAACTTGATTCAAACCAGCTTCCAGAATGTCCGCTCACCTACAGCTGCCCCTTGAGGGCAACCAGCCCACTTTCCACACGCATTCCTTTTTTCTTTTTTTTCTTTTTTTAAGACAAACGAGGCCATAAGAAAATATGTAAAATAAAGACCTTGATTTTGCCTTCCTGTCTCCATCACCTGTGGAACTTCCCGGCCTCGCGCTAACAAGTCCAACATCAGACCATCCCTTTCAGAAATGCGTCCCAGGGGCCCATCTGCTGGACATCGCTGGCCAGCTGGCGTCACACAAGGGCCCTGGAGGGCGCCTGCAGAATGGATGATGCCTTCGAGGTTGCCGGGCATTGCCCAGCCTCTCACACACGGAGCTGCTGCAGGGCCTGGGCCACATCAGCGCAGCCCCGGGGCCTGTAGCCGCATAGGGCAGCGGTCGTCAGCTGGTGGTCCGTGAGGTCCAAAAGGTTGGCGACCGCTGGCATAGGGAACTGCACGGCCAGTGCCAGGCTGCAGAAGAAACCCCTCGTGGGCAGGTCAGTCTGGCAGCTCACTACCAGCACTTCCCACAAGCAGGCTGGATGGGAGAGACGGCAGCAGGCAGTGCCTTCGGGGTTGTGCCCAGGTGCACCTGCCTGTGGCCAGATGTGAGATTGCTGCTAGAGAGAGCTGGCTGCCATCTCGTCTCCATGCCCACAGGTTTCCCAAGAGACTGTTCCTGGTGAGGAAACTGAGGCACAGAGAAGTTAAGGGGTCTCCCATTTCCTCGCCAGCCTCCCCTCCCCCCTCAGAGGGAAGCTCTGCCCTGTCCAGCCCCATCACTTGCCCTTCCCCCTTCGAGGGGGTTGACACCTGATGAGAGAAACTGAGGCACCAGGGAACACAAGGCATCAGGCCAACAGCAAGGCCCACGTGGGGCCCAGGTGTGGAGGGGCTTGCATAGCATCCTCACAGCACAGTGCTGCTGCCAGGAGCCCAGTGGCTTCTGTCGGAAGCTGTTTCCCCATCTGTAGGTAGGGGAGGTGCCCTGGCCTGTAATCCACGCACGCGGGCATGGGCCCGGGCCCCGGAGTCCCCAGTATTGGAGGCAGCTCTCGCACTGACCAACCACAGGCTTCCTGGAGGTGGCAGTGGGGCAGGCGAGGGAGCGGGGCTGCACAGATGCAGGGGTGGGTTTGGCAGAGGGAAGGAAGAAGCCATCTCTCCCACCTCTTTTTGTCATTTTTAAGGACGTGCCCAGGGTGAGCGAGGCTGAGCCCCACCTCTGGGCATGGCGTTGCTGCTAAATTTAAGCCTTTCTCCCCGAGTGCCTACAGCCTTAATATAGCCACTGGGCACCCCTTCCTGCAGCCCTTCCTCCTGCTACAGCCCCCAGGCTCTGCCCTCTGGTCACAAACAACCGGACACTGGGCTGGCAGGCCTGCAGCCTGGGCCACTTATCATAGTGACAGGGTGGAAAGGCCACCTCATGGGCGCTGCTGACTGCACCCACTTCATCTCCAGCCTCTCTGCCCAGGGAGCCCGAGGAGGGGCGCCCACCTGCAGCTGTCCCCGCCCATCCGCATCCCAGAGGCCACCGAGCCCCACCGGGCTCCGCCCTGGTGCCTGGGGAAGGGAGAAGACCCTGCCGGTGAGCACACAGGGCATAGAAAGGGGCGACACCAGGACCCCTCGTCAGAGTTTCTTAAATCAGAACAATTTTAAGGTGCCCTTCTCCCAACCTTCCAGCCCTTGGTGGCTTCACTCCAGCTGCAGGGCAGCAGCCAAACGTGTCCCAGGGACACTCCTGCAGGCTTGGTCCTCGAGGCAGAAGCACCCCCCGACACACACACACACACACGTCCTTGACGATGGGGTCAGGATCTGTGATGTTCACCCTGCCTTCTGCCTGCCTTGCTGCAGGTGTCAGCAGCATGTTCGCTGCATGCATGGTGCACATTTGCCCCCTGGGCTCTCGGACGAGCACCACCCTGCACCCCTCCAGCCCGGCCGTGCCCAGACCCCAGAGCCTCTGGGGGCCGGGACTAGAGCAAAGGGTCTCAAAGCCTCCCGGGCGCTCCTGGGGCCAGGCGGGAGGGACCGAGGAGCCGGTCCTGGGGGAAGCGCTGGGCACCAGGTCGGGAGAAGACCAGGTGCCTCAGGGAAGGGATGGTGTCCTCCCCGCTCACTGCTCTTTCCTTTGCCACAAGCCCAGGGGAAGTGTGTGGCGACTCGGGGGCTGTGGTGTGGACAGGCTGTGTGGACAGAGGCCCAAAAAGAGGCTGATGAGGCTCCCCTGGGTCCCGGCCCCCACATGGACCCTTTTTGGCAGACGAGAGGCCAGAGGGGTGGGGCCCCCTGAAGTTGGGAGGCTGTGGTGCCTGTTACCCATACACATCACATCTCGGCAGAGCCTGGCAGGCCCGTCGGAGCCTGGGTGGGGGTGGCTAGCCCTCAACGGCCACGCGGAGGCCCTCGCGGGCAGCCCCCCTACAATGCCCTGCGAGGCCCGCCAAGATGTTGACATGGACGGCTCCAGCCGACTTATTTATTATCTGATAAAGGGCTCTCGGCACCGCTGGTGGACAGTGTCTGGCTGCACTGGGGCCTGGGGGAAGGAGGAGGGGGGTGGGGGGGACCGGAGGCCAGACCAGGCCTCTACATTGGACTCCAGGGCAGGACGCACAGAGGAATCTGGGCTCTTCCTCCCCAGCCACAGCCTTTCTTCTCCACCGTCCTCCGAGCCAGCGGGCCAAGGAGACAGCCAGCTCCCGCCCGGAGCTGTCCCTGGGGACTCCCAGCCTGGGTGTCACACCCCGAGACCTGTGCCTCGATGCCAGGCCCTGCTCTCACCGGTCCCAGGAACCCCGCTGGGGCCCTCCTCTACCCTCCCACCCCCTTGGCCCGGAGCTCGAACTTTCCATGATGCAAATCTGGGCGTCTCTCCTTTGCTTCCAAATGCTCTGGCCCAGGTGCCGCCCCAGCAACTGCTCGGCCGGCTCCAGCCATTGTGGCCCCATGGCCTCAGGGCCCCCCTTTCACGGCACCTGCGTCCACTCTTTGGTACTGGGGACACTTGTCAGCCTCCAAACACATCATGGCTCTGGGCCTTTGCATGTGCCGCTCCCTCGTCTGTGCCTAACCGACGGCATGTTACTCAGGGCTTGAGACCCTGATGCACCTCTTCCGCATGCCTTTCTCAGGCTGTGCAAGGTGGCTCCAGGGTCGCCTCCGGGCAGAGCCATCGTGCCCTCCCTGGGGCCGCCCTTGCACAGTGGAAACAACCTAGATGCCCAGTAAGAGCAGGGGAACGTGTCCAGTGAGCCTTTCAAGACCGCGTTGCAAGAGGATCGGACAAATCCAGCTTATTCTGAAGTGCTTCTCCCTAAACCTCTGAGTCAGCTTTTATAACCAAGTGACAACGAAGGCGGCCTCCACGGGTCTCCACAGCCAGCCCTGCCGACCAGCCTCGCTGCCTCCTCGTGAGGGCGGGCCTGGATGGGAGGGGCAGTGGGGGTCCAGGACAGGTGACCTGGCCACAACCCCAATAGGTCCCTTCCCACAGGAGGTTCAGCAGAGGCAGGTGACGGTCACTGTCCCTTCTGCTTGGCCTCTGAGAAGCCTGGGAGGCGGGCAGGCCCCAGCTGGGAGCAGTGGCGCTTCCCCTGGCTGGTCACTTCCCGTCTGTGAGCCTCAGCGTAGAGGCCACCTCTTCAGCCAGGCCCTGCTTGTCCTCACTGGTCCAAGCAGACCCCACCCCGGCCCCTCTTGCACCTCGGCCTTCCTGGACCTTGTCCACCTGTAACCACGAATTTGGACGCTCCCACGCTCCCTCTGTCTCGCTGCAGCCCGTGTCCCTGTGAGAGCCAGCGCCGACCGACTCGGTGGGGAATACATGCATGAGCAAAGAGTCTGGCCTGGGGGTGCTGACCAGCCCCTCCAAGGACCAGCCATTTGCCATGGGGGTGGGGACAACGCGGGTGAGGTGAGGTCCCCAGAGGAGGATTTGTGTGGGGCAATTCATGGGAGAGAGGGAGAGGAGCCTGTCCGGCCGTGTGCAGTGGCACCCTGCCCAGCTGCTCCTGCAGGG